AAAAAAAATTTTGGCTTCCATATTTCTAAAGGGGAGTACAGGAATATGCAAAAATCAAATTCGAATACTTGTAATAAAAAACTTGAAACAACAATAATAAAAATAACAGACCTCCTTTCTGTAATCTTATACCATACTCTTTTCAGGGATCCGAAGGTCAAAAAGTTTTTCTTTCTGTTATAAAGAACTTATATCAGTGCATTAGTGATGTTCTGCTAATTATCATTACATAACATTTTGTAATAGAATCCTTGAGTATTGTTAAAATATCGTCAATGTACCGGTCCTTGCATATATGAAAATAGGCTATTCTAGGAGACAATCTTGCAAGTTGGCAATGAATCCCTGCTGTTTCGAAAGATGTTATTCATGAAATATACAAATATCATATAGGCAAGACATGACCTAGAGTTAAGAAACGAGACCATTTTTAAAGCAATGATGAAATCGATTGATTAAAGAAAATTGAAAGGCATCTATAACTGTATCAAACTGAATATAAAAACTAAATTTACATAAGTTTATCTTAGGGACCATGATGTCTATAAGTACCATCTATATTCTTCAAAGATTATCATCAGTATCTAAACATTCAGCATATGAAAATTTTCATAAAACTTGATTTGTTATATATCATTCAATGCGCCACCAATTGCTCTACAAAACTACATATATGGTATTCTGGTTCAAAATATGTCACTAAATCCGACAGAGTCCATTCTATTTATTCATAATATTATCATTTTCTAGACTCCAAAACGGCCTGGTGCTCAACAAACAAATAAATCTTTATCATATCCATTTCCCAAGAAGACATAATTTTATTTATTATTTCTGTTTGTTGTTTTTTTTCATATGTTTTGTTGTTTATTAAAAGCTTGATTAAATTAAAAACAAAACCAATCACCTACAAAAAAAAACCAAGAAAAGATGAATACATAACACCATTGGATATTGATATAATTTGCCAAAAAAATATTGTTTAGATTATAGGATCTATTTTTGAAGCTCTATAACGAATTGTAAATAAAGCTAATGCAACAATAGCTGATATAACACTAGCTAATAATTCAATAGCTGCAATAATATTATTTCTTGTAAGACTTTTTCGTATCCAATTATTTTCGACAACACCCCAAAAGAATATAATAAAAACTAGCCATGGTGAAAATTGATATGCACATCTTTCAACAAGTACTGCATTAATATTAGGTCCAAAAAAATATGCACCAGCTAAAATAGCTGCTAAGATTAATGATATTGTATCAACATTTACAATTGATAAATTAGATTTAACTTGAAGAAATATGTCAAATGTAAGAATAAAACGAACAGCTAAAAAAACAAAGAAATATTTTCAAAGAAATGAAAAACAAAGTTCGAATCATTTTCAAAACCTGTCCAACAAGCAAAAAATGCTACACCATTTTGAGCAAAAAATCGAAGACACCAAATATCTCCATTACTAAGAAATTAAAAAGAGAAAAACATTGTGTTTTTATTAAATAAATTACTTACAATCCTTCTGTTTCATAGATTTTTTTATTTACTGCTAAATTATTATTAATAATAAATAAAGCAAATGATAATAATACAAATGAAACTAAATAAATAATCCAACTCCACTAGAAAAGAGAGAAATAAATAAAGAAAAAAAAAATACAGATATATCATATCAAATTTTCATATTTACAATTGCATAATTTTTATAGAAAAATAAAAGCCAAATTGTTTGAATCAGAAAACCAGTTATATAAATAATAGAAAATGTTAATGTTAATGTTTTTGGTGATAAATAAAGATAACCATTTGTTGAACGACGATAAATAAACGATAATGAATATAAAAGCCAAGCAAGCTAAACATAAAAATTGTTTCGTTTTTTTTGATTAAAGAAAATATCTGTTTTACCTGCCAGAAATAATTAAATACATCCAAACTTCGATAAACCCAATAAGATGGTGTTATCTCATTACCATATAATTGTTCAAGACGATATGTTGTATTTGGAAAAACTCCTGAAGATTAAGATAATAATCTGATCGTTTTTTTTTTAGTTTGCTAAGAAAAGAAAATTTACTGTTAGCGCCTTGTTCGAATAATTGATCAACAACAATATAACCAAGAAATAAAAGAACTGTACCAATAAGTGATGTCAATCGAATATAATTATGGCGATATTCGCCTGATGGAACTTGATTGTTGACTAACATGATTTACAACTAAATCAAATGATGTTTTTCTTTCCTCATGATATGAAAAGAATTTTATTATGCGATTAGATCTAACTTTATCGGTTTCGGCTTTTGGACTACTCTTGAAGCGGGTGGTGATACATCGACAAACAAATTATGAAAATCAAACAAAGATATACAGTAATAAGCATCCACATATGCAAAGGCACTCGTCTCATAGAAGAAGGAACCAGTGCACTACTTCCAAACATCTAGACTCTGTAAACATGGATTATTTTTGAATACAATATTTTCGATTGATACAACTAATATTATAACGTTTTGAATTTCGATTTCCTTGTTAATTGATCTGTGTCTTGTTCTCATGTTTGCTCTGTGTGATGCTATATATGAGACGCTATAACGGCTTTGTAATGATTTATGTTTGAAGATTTTTATGAGTTTTCGAACCAATTATTCATATAGTTTTTACATATCAAACGCGATAGAAATTATGATAGTTGCGTCTTTACTTCAAAAAATTCTAAGAATAAAATCAAATCTTAGCTTGAAATTATCCTATACCAAGTCATTGCTTTTCAACGAGAAAAATCTATATGACTATCAGATTCTCATTTTCCTACTTTTGACATCCAGTACCGGAAGCTAGTGATAGAAAATAAAACTTTTGTTAAGTCAATTGATCGGTGGTCAAGACATTGATCGACAATGAGTTTCGGTCAATCTCTGATAACAAGGATCAAGGATCGAGGATGGAATGACATAGTCGTTTGAAAGACAAATTTCTTGTAATATTTTGTCTTGCATGAATTCTTCAATTATTTTCGCGAGAAAGATTTTGAAAACCATCATAAAAACTTCACTCAGATATCGACGGAGCCAATACAATCGTTAATCCGATTCTACAAATTAAAAGTCGAATTATAGTGAATATTTGGATTAGCAACGAACCTACTAATGAGATGAAGTAGAACGCCGCCTCAGGCCAATAAAATTTTTCTCTAGGGCGAACAAGGTTGCAAGAAGCACTTGTATGTAACGCAGCGGCAAAGCATCGTCTGTATATCAGTACATGAAGAATATAAAGCACGTGACCGAATAAAGTATATCTATCAATTACTTGTTAAATATTGTTTCCTTTGGAGAGAGAGAGAATGTAAAAAACAAAGCTCAGTTTTGCACAAAGATACAAAACAGATACGACTTTAGGCTGTCACTGAGTAGTATGTTCTTCGCGTACTCGGGATATAGTTCAATAACTGAATTGATGTCGAATGAATTTTTTGCAAGATGTTTTGAACAGTGCTCACAGAGAGATAAAACTGGACTATAGTGTGGGCGCGTGTTTTATTTTCACTCATACATCCACATCTACATTCTCTTGTAAATCCCGATTTAGTGGGAATTTCCTTCATCATTACTATTGATTTTTCTCAATCAAGAACAACATCTGCTCACATTACCAATCCCATCTATTATGAAGAAAAAAAAAAGATGAAGTTCTGTTTTCAATACATACGATTTTTTCCTATTCACAAAATTAAACTACTGGAGACAATTATCAACATTTCCAAGTGTACTTGACATTTATCAGAGACAGTAATAAAGGTCTTGTTATGTTGGCTGAATGCATTCAACAAGACACTTTCCCATACTCAACAAGATGGTATAGATTAGGTTTATGTTTATTGCTAATTTTTAAAAGATTAGTTCGTTCAAGTCGAAAAAGTTTATGAGACTATACTGGAATATACAATAGATGGTAGTAAAAAAAGCAACTATTTACAATCAACTTGACAGAGTAAAAGATAAGCAAAGGAAATACCAATGAGGCAATGGAATTCTTTGAAAAATCACTTGAAATCTACAAAAATACTCGTACTCCAAAACATCGTGGTTTGACTTCTTTCTACAGTAACATGCGTTTGGTATATATGAATATGGATGAACATTGGAATACTCTTTCTGTTCTGGAAAAGACTCGTTACCATGGAACAAAATACTTTTCCTTCAAATCCTCTTCATTAGATTATGTTCAACAAGAACATCGGTTTGATGTACAACAATATGAATGAGTTATTAAAAACACTTTCGTTATATGAATGTTGTGTGAATATGACATAACTTTCATTATCATAAAATCATTCTCGTCTTGAAACGTAGAAAACAGTCTGGACTTAATAATAAAAAAATAAATTGTAACTAATGTTTGTTGTTCCGAGATAAAAAAAAATAAAATGTATTTCGAGTAACACTTGCTTGCATACAGAGCAAATCTGCTCTTATGACGAACATAGATGTATCACATCTAACTGGAAGGTAATCAATATATGTTAATAGGCACCTTTTATATAAGAGATGATCACGGATTTTTAATATGTAGAACTGCATTTGGATGACTAAGAAATTACAATATTTCATACATCTTTTAGTTTCATTATTTTAGAAAATTTCTTGACGAATCTGATAAAAACGAATTAAATATTTATGATTTGTCTTTGCAAAAATATCTTAATGACAAATTATATTCCAAAGATTCTGAGATATTTGATAGTTAAAATACTTGTTGATATAAACTTAGATAAAGAAAATAGCTTGTCATCTATATTAATATTCTTATTTATTCGACAAAAATGCTTCAATAAAAAAAAACCCGTATTATAAACTTTCTGAATTTTAATACTGTATTAAAGTGCAAATGAAATTGTTCGAAGATTAAAATATAATCTTATCATGAAAAACTTTAATTACTCTTGATTAAAGCCACACTCTTAATGGAACTTTTTTCATTTCTATTTCGAAATATTATCTTGCTTGAAAATCGATTGAATTCTGTTCAAGACTTAGCATTGTGAGTGTCTGTATTAAATGATAAGATATATATGAAATAAATGAGCTAAGAGCTAATCCTACTGTATTATACTGCAATGCATGCGCCAGATATCGTGCTCTTGCACGGCCAATTTGATTGTATCTAAGATCAAGTTTGATTAGTGTCTATATTGAATGATGAAGATATGCATGAGATAAACAACTAGAAAAATCTGTCTTACTCTATTATATTTTAATGCATTTGCTAGATCTCGTGCTCCTGCATTGCTGATTTTGTTTCCCCAAAGATGTAGAGCAGCAAGTGTCTGTATTAGATGATATAGATGCATAAGAAATAGTTGAATAAAAAAAAAATTGGTCTTACTGTATTCTGATGTAATGCATTTGCTAGATATTGTGTCCCTTCATCACTGATTTCGTTGTATCCAAGATGTAGCACAGTGAGTGTCTACGTTAAATGTTACAGATATATTTAAAATGAATGTATTGATGGCTAATTCTACTGTATTATACAGCAATGCATTCGCCAGATATTGTGCCCCTGCAGGACCAATTTTGTTGTATCGAATATCAAATGTGACGAGCGTCTGTATTCAATGATATAAAATCACATGAATTTAATTACTAGAAAATAAGTGTTACTGTATTATGTTGTAATACATTAGCTAGATATTGCGTCCCTATATCGCTGATGGCACTATTTCCAAGTCTTATCTTCGTGATTTTCTATGTTGAATGATATACATAAATATGAGATAGATAACAAGGAAATTGCTCTTACTTTGTCATATTGTAATATATTAGCTAGATAATATATTGTTTGAGGATCTAGTTGATTGCCGAGAGATTGTAATGTATTGGTTGTCTGGTATTTGAATTATAGAAAAATTTAATGTTCAATTATCAAACTTCATTTTACTATTAATTTTATATTATATTTTGAGAAAATAAAAAAAAACATGGGAAGATTATTTTTGTAAATTTTTATTCAATTCTCTATTAATCAATTAAACTGAGAAGATATTTCATTTCTAGCAAAAGTTTCAAAAAATAAATAGTTTTCTATGTAAATATTTTCTTTTGGAAGATTTCAAAAAAATAAAAGAAAACTTTAATTCAATTCAATTTAATTTATACAAATTTTACATAGACATAAATCAATTGATTGGGTGTGGATGTGGGTTAGGAGGAGACCAACACGCACATCCACACCCATCAAAACGAGTAACAGCTGATAAAAATAAAAAAGAATTTATGAAATTAATTGTTCAAGAAGTATATGAATGTATAATACAAATGGTGACAATTTTCAACAAGTATGGATTTCTTATTCAATTTTAACATTTTTATCAATTTGTTTGTTTTATTTCACTTCCGATAATTGAACAATTTTCTACTGAAACAAATCGCATAACATTTAGTATTACTTGATGAAATAATCGAAATTGAATTACGAGAAGTTCAAAATTGTTTTCAATCAAAACAAAAATCAATTTTAGAAGCAATTAAATTAAAATAACAAACATTAAATTATCATTAATTCTTCATTTTGTCTTATTACTGTTCGATTAATTCTATGATAATAGTGACAAAATACAATACATTCTTCCTTTTTTTTTTTGAAAAAGATAGAGATAGAGAAAATTAAAATAAATGTATATTAAAAATAAATAAAGTGAATTTAATTTAGGTTTTTTTTCTTTCAATCATCAAGTTGACAGAGTAATGCAACAACAACACGTTTTATCCAATGTTATTCTAGTTGATTTGTTTACTGGACGTTCATATGTTTCTTCGGTATTTAATTCATTTGTTTTAATTGGTTTTATCCAAATATTTAGTTCAGAATCATATAGAATTTTTGGAAATTGTTCATCAAGTAAATCTCTAGATAAAAGAAAATAAATAAATTAAGTATCCGAAGCTGCCAATCGATAAGTATGTTGATATTTAGATTGCCCTAGTGAAACATCTTGTAAGCAAGATTCAATATCTTGTGAATAAGATCTTGGACAAGATCTTGGGTATAGAAATGTAAATAGATCTTGAAAATTTACACACAAAATAATGTAATTATCTTCGATCAAGATTTGCATATATTAGATCTTGAAATCTGGGGCAAGATCTTGACTTAATAACATTTTGCAAATTATTTTTACCACTTCTAAAAACTAAATTTTACAAAATTGTTTAGGGGTCATGAAGATGTTCATAAGAACGACCATTTCGAAGATTTTTTTAAATTGACCATTGGTCAGAATTTGCTGTCCTTAGCTTGTAGCAGAGAATTGACTTCAGATTTATGATCAGCGTGAAAAGTTACATCAGGCAGACTGTTTTAGAAATATTTACGATCATCTATAAATGGATAGCTTTGGTCACTTTTCACCATGTGTATGTCAATCAAGATCTTATAAAATCTGTACCCAAGATCTAATTACAGATCTTGGTTCAAGATAATGTGAATATCTTGTACCTAAAATCTCAAGATCTATTTACTTTTCTCTACCTTGTATCTTGGTCAAGATCTTGCTTACAAGATGTTTCACTAGGACATGAAGCTCTTCGATGGGTTAATAAAATTGAAAATTGTTCATCGATCACGGACTAGTCGACCTATCTGAAGGTGACACTTCGAGGGGTCGATCTGGAAATTCGATGTCCTCAATGCGTTCATCATCGATGAATTTCGATGGGTCAAATTAGCATGGCTTCGAGTAGTTGATATTCGGAGTACTCGAAATTTTTACAAATTTTCAAAAAATTTTGTTTTCTATATCCCATTTTTTTTCAAAAGACAAAATTGATCATGTATATGTTCTTCCTATTGTCAATATTTGACGAAAGCAATTCTAGTCGTTATAGATTGCGTTATATAAATAGAAGATTTTATTCTTAAGCATAAATTACATTATAATTAATGTGAACATTAAAAAAAAAGTCATGAAAGAAATAGTGAAATTAGAACAATGATAAATCTCATTAACTACTCTCTTTTGATTTAAAATGTTTAACTATTTTCATAGTTTTGAGGACTGAAATCGACCATTCAAAATTCTCCTATGAACAATTCTTCGTAAATGATTAATTGTCAATAAATGTGATTTAGAGAACTACAATATTTCTGAAGAGTTCAATAACTAATAAATGCACACATATTTCTGTTATAATTTTAGTCGGAATTGATGAATAATGTTGTTTAAATCATGAAACTACATAAAATCATCTAACAAACAAATAATCTTCCGATGGGATGATGGAATAACAGTGAAGATTCATTCGAAAACTGGGTGCAAAATTTTTCAACGATCAAAATAAAAATGAGTAATCGAGACTATTTGTTCGATAGGTTTACTCTTGTTAAGTAATCGATATTTCGATGAGCTTCTAATAACTAGAATTATATCAACCAATCGAAAGTATCTTCTCGATGAGTCTCCTCCTTCAAGTAGCCGTAATTTCAATGAATTTCAAGTGATCGAAATGTGTCTGATGAATCGAAAATGAGTGTGTAATGGGAAAATGTTTTCGAGCGCTCGATATTCGAAAAGAACAGAAAAAAATATTTATCTTTAAGTTTCAACTACTCATCTTGCTCATCATTAGTTTTTTTTATATCTGCTTGGGATTATATAAAATTATGTGTCTTGATTTCATACTACACCATCAAGGAAAAGACCACTAATATATGCATCATCATTTGGAGCTGTTATACTTTTAGTGACTTTGAAAATCTGAATAGAAAAAATAAAAATAAATCAATATATAAGAAAGAAGCTAGTTTTATATCTGAAATTCGAAGGTTAATAGATTGATTGGTATTGTAATATTTTCTAGCAAAATTTGTGTTTAACATTTTTTTCATTGTTTCTTTCAAATTAAAATTATTTAGTAACTAAATAATTAAAAATATAATTAATTATTTATTTTTAAAAACATAGCATTAGAAGTATCATTTAATTTTTTATCTATATCAACACTTTCAGTTGTTACTGAACCCATTGTTAAAAAAATTGAATCAAACAAAAGTTTTTTTTAGCTTGTAAATCTTTTGATATATCAACACTTTCATGCATATCAAAGACTTCAGAATTCTTGAATTAATGGTAAGTTTTTAAATAAATTTAATATATTTTTCATAAGTACCTTTTAGTGGTACACAATAAACATCAATTCGTCATTATTGATGCTTAATAATTCCAGCTAGTTGTGAATTGTAAAAATCTTTAAGAATTATATATAAACATCAACGATCTCAATTATCAGTCACTGTGAAAAAAAAAGATTTTGCATAGAAAAAGAAACTTATCGACCTCCATAGTTATATTCACCAGTCATATAAAGAATAATAACATCCTGAATGAAAAGAAGAACAGATTTTTTTAAATGTAAAATAATTTGATATTATTTTCTCATTTGAAGCAAAAAATTTCTCAACTAGTTAATTACTTTTGAGTCAAACCTATATGCATTATGTAGATCCTAATAAGCTATGAATACTCTGAGAAGAGTTCGAACCAATAGCTTATTGTTGTCGAAATATTATATTTTTTAATTCAATGATATAGTTCCTCTCAGGAAAAGTAATTTTCAAATTTTCAACTTGAAACTTGACACAAAAAGACAAGCCTTAACGAGAATAGTTTATTGTGAAAGTTTCAGATCTTTTGATTTGATCTTATTATTAAATAAGAACATCGAATCTACTGATGTGTATATAAACAATGTAAAAAAAGACACTTTTATTATAGTCGTATTTTAAGATAAGAACAACGAAAAGATCTAAAATTTTCATAATAAACTATTCTCGTTAGGGCCTATTTCTGCGCAAACTTTCAAGTCAAAATTTGCAAATTAATTCTCCTAATGTTCCTGAGAGGAGCACGGGATTGTATTAAAAAATATAGTATCTTGTCAACAACAAGCCAAAGACTCGAACTCTTTTCAGAGTATTCCTGTATAAGAGAAATTCGTATCATCATGAAGAAAAGTATTTGTCTTAATCAACAAAATATTCATGTATGAAATTTTAGCATATTCATTAATAAACATCTAAAATAGATTTTAAAAATAATACATTTTCATATATAGTAATAAAAAACATACTTGAAGTTGTCGAATAGAAAGAAAAAGATCTGATTCATTAAATCCATAGTGTATATTAAATGCTTATAGTCTAGAACTTTATTGTGATAATTAATTTTTCAATAATAAAAAAAAGGTACTACCCGAAAAACATAGTATTTTAATTCAAGAAAGAAAATTTAAACAAAAAAGATCGATGAAGAAAATAACGTACGCGTCAATTTTGGATCATTTATTATAAATTTAATAACAGTAAATCTTCTCTATCAAAGAGAAAAAAGATTGTCTTTTTCTGTTTTTATCATTGACGTAAACAGTTTTTCTGATGATTCAATACGATATTCGAATGACATTCTTCGACTAAATGCCTTAAGAATATTTAAAAACTATTTCTATCAATATGCAAAGCAAAAATAATATATATATATATATCGCATAGATACTAGGTTGGTTTTTATTGTTAAAATCTAAATATAATGAATATCCGATAACAGTGATCCACTTTTTCATATAGTATATCCTTTTATTTAATACTAATCCATGATTGTCTGCATCGATATATTTTTTTCGATTGATATTTCTGTGACGAGTGAAAAATTATTTAAACCATTATATTTCAATAGAAAGTATGACAAAATGTGTTTGAATGAGTTCTTCTATTCACGTTCGAGTAGAGAAGAAGCTGAAAAATAGAGAATTTCATACAAATTCTTTTTTCAAAGAGACCATTTGCTCAAAGTTCTTATTTACAACACAAGCAGTCTCATCTTGTTCCATGTTGTAATCACCATAGGATTACACCAGACGGTTTTTCTTAAGCATAATTTTAATTACTAAAAATCTACTTCATACTATATCGATTGCGACAAACTCTCTCATTCTTAGTGAGCAAATTTTATGTTTTGTATGATAAAAAGCAAATTTTCTAAATTTTAAAAATTCGTGACATATCAAATAGCTATGAACAGAATCAAGACAATTAAAACTTATAATATTTATTAAACAATTCAATTTTACATTGTAAAAAAAACACAAAGTACATTATTTAATAATATTTAATTGTATATAGTCAAATAAAATATTGCGATAACCATAATCTGATCTAATTCGAAATCCAAAATAAATATTCGATAATTCGAATACTTTTATTTTACCCATTGTTTCATTAAACCAATTAATATTCTCATGTAATAAATAGTTTGATTCAAACCAATCAAAATTCATTGTTTTCGAATCACATTCACAATCGAGACCATGATCAGCTAGTGCATAAAAAGAACATTCGACACTTTTTTCTACTCTATGATCTTTACTACAACATTCAGTATAGTACGTTAAATATACATTGTTCTTATCCAGTTTAATACGACATATAATTTCATAGATTCCAGGTAATATTGATTTAAATTTACCTTTTATACCTCCTAAATCTCTCAATGGAGTTGAATATAAACGGACACATCGACCTGTTAAACTATTTAAATCATATTCATGATTTAGATATTCCTGATTTAGATATTTTCGTATGGGACAACTTCTATGACGTGGTGTACAACGAAGATCTATTACAAATAAATCAATACCTAATAAACGTTTCGCTTCAATAAAATAATAATAAATTAATTTATACAATGATATTTGTCGAATATTTTCATTATTTAAATATTTATTTCTATTTAAATAAGATTCAAAGAATTCTTCAGTTGTTAAAGACATTTTTAATTCATTTGTACGTGGACGTTGTTTTTGTTTAGTTATACTTTTATGAGCTATATAGCCATCACTATTATCTTTACCATTTAATACATTCCATAACCAAATATTACACATTTCCCACTCGAAATGTCTTCGAAAACATTTTTCAAATTTTTGTATATCTTTTTT